ATTACAGCCTCAACGGCCCTTCAGTATGACGAGCGGCATCCTATTATACTGCCATACAACTGTCGGTTAGCTCGTCTTCTCGTCCTTTTTCACATCAAATTTCCCTGCATGACTGCAACGCCTCATCTGGCTGTGGTAAAAGCTGTGCTGAACTCCTGTAAGGTGTGCACTATTTACAAGAAGAGAGTCCAGACGCAATTGATGGGCGATCTCCCGACCGATCGAGTTTCCTTTTCCAGGCCATTCACATATACGGGCATTGATTATGCAGGCCCGTTTGAAATAAAAAACTATACTGGCAGAGCATCCCTTATTACCAAGGGATATGTTTGCGTGTTTGTGTGTTTTTCCACGAAGGCTATCCATTAAGAGCCTACGTCCGACCTGACAACGGAGAAGTTCCTCGCGGCATTTGCCCGATTCGTAGCAAGAAGAGGTTGTCCTCAGCGAGTCTATTCGGATAATGGCAAAACCCTTGTGGGGGCAGCGACTCTACTTTCTCGAGATTTCATGCAGACGATTAAAGAGTCTGTAGCTGGAACCTATAGCCATCAGGGACTTGTGTGGCGGTTCATTCCACCAGGGGCTCCACATATGGGAGGATTGTGGGAGGCTGGAGTAAAGAGCTTCAGGGCACTCTTTTACAAGTCGACGTCAAGTCGGAAGTACACGTTTGAAGAGTTCGCCACGCTTCTCGCCAAAGTTGAAGTCTGCCTTAATTCCAGGCCGCTGTCTCCCATGTCCGAAAATCCATCTGAGTTATTGGCATTGACGCCAGGCCACTTTCTGATTGGGGGACCTTTGCTTTCAACAGCTGAGCCTCAGTCGATTATAAATCGCTGGCAGCACTTAAAGGCCCTGCATCAGCAGTTCAGTGCGCGATGGAAGGAGGAGTACTTAAAGGAACTTCACAAGCGCAATAAGTGGCAGACTCCTTCCAGAGATATCCAAGTCGATGACATGGTGGTCGTCAAAGAAGACAACATGCCATCAAACGAATGGCGGCTCGGCAGAGTTGTATCTGTTCTTCCAAGAGCCGATAGTAGAGTTCGCGTAGTTGAGATCCGTACTGCTCGAGGGACTATAACACGTCCCATCCACAAACTAGTACTTCTTCCTATGGATGACCAGGCAACCTCCGCCTTTCCAAAATAATGCATTCTGTCCTCCTTCTAGCACTTCTTTCTATGGAAGCCAAGGCAACCAACAAATATTGTGCGAATTGCCTGGCGCATCAGCACTCCGGAGGGCAATGTCGCAGTGGCGACGCATGCAAAAAAATGCGGGAAGGATCACCACACGCTGCTCCACCTGCACGAGATGCCCAGGAGTTCTCGACGAACGCCCATCCAGCCACGCCGCCAATCGCCTTCCCCTCAACGCCGTCCATCGCCTTCCGAGCAACATCGCGCATCGACCACTCGCCTGTCGAGATCAGTCTCCCGGTCTCCGTCACCATCGGCAAGGCAAGCACTGGTACGACGACCAGCTCCAGCGGCAACCCCATCAGTAGCGGCTCTAGCGCAGCATCAGAGCCTCCACATTCTCCCGACGGCCATCGTGTTGCTGGAATCTGGGACCACCACCTTCGAGACGGCCGCGTTGATCGACCCGTGCACTCCCGTCAGCACCATCGACAGCTCCCTGGCAACTGCCTTCAAGCTACTCAAGTCTGCTCGACGACGATCCGGTCAAGAACGGGCGATTTCCAGATCGAGGTGCTCCTAAATATCAGCCCTAGTCTGCGCATCCGCACCCCGATCCGCGCGCTTAGTGAAGCTATGCGAGCCCAGTTCAACGACATCCGTCTTGCCGATGAGCAATTCCATCGCCCAGCAAGAGTTTCGCTGGTGTTGGGCTCGTACGTATACCCCGACGTCATCCGGCCCGGGTTTCTAAATGTACGTGATGGGCTGCCCGTTGCACAGAGCACGGTATTTGGATGGGTCGTGCCTGGAGCATGCAGATACGCCTAAGGATTCATCCGTTGCTTCGCTCGTCCTCGCAAGGGGGGGAGAATGTTCGCGCCAGAGCGGCGCTTTCCAGTCCCTTTTGAACCGCCCCTGGAGTCTTAACAGTCGTGAGAGCAGTTCTTCCATCGCTTGCATCTCGCTCTCTGGCACTGTTAAGGGTCTCAAATCCGCTCTCCAAGCGGCTCTTAAAGTTTCCACCCCGAAGCTTAAGTTTAGTTCTAATTTCCAAGTGTAACCGCGAAGTCGAAATAAAGAGTGAAGTTTTTTAGAACGTTCAATCGAATTTTGCCCGCGTTATTAATTCTACCCCAAAACAACTAAATCGAGACCCAGGAAGACCCGCCCCACGACTCAACAGTCAGAAAAACTAAGAAAATCCAACTCTAATATAATATCTCATAGGGATTACTTTGAAGGGGACAAAATAGATATTCATAAATAAATAAATAATTTTTGAAAAAACACAAACTTCGCGATACTTTTTAAACACACCTCGTATGGTTCGCTCGTGCTAGACATGCGGGTGTTGAAAAACCAGTAAGCGAGTCGATTAATTTTTGGGTTTTAAGATCGATGAGCAATTGAAATTTGCTTAAAAAGTCTGCCTTAATAATGGCTCTGTGCAAATCCGGAATAATGAAAGGCCAGGTAAAATTTCGGCGAAGATCCAAGATCAGCTGAGTGACGTACTTTCCAAAAGTATGAACGAGAGGTCTGGTTCGCTGCGTAAAGTGTCAAATCGTTTAGAGTGGTTTTTGGTCTGACCAGCGTTCGTGGTATGACGGAAACTACAGATCCTGAGTCGATGAGGAGCTGCTTGCTGAACTGTGGGTTCGCTGGTTATGTACTATGGAGCAAGGAGCGGGATCATGGGGGCGGCATTTGTGGACATTTTCTCCAAATAGCTCGTGGTAGAAATAAATTGATGCCGGCATCTCTGGCAGGAAAAGTGTGGGGATAATATTCTCGTTGCCCGGATCCGGAGGTAGCCGTCGCATGTTGGCCAAGATTTCAAACGACGATCTGGTGCAATGAGCGCTCCTCTTGCGCAAACCATTACTGAGGGTTGCTGTTCGGTCATGCCGCAGCCTAACTCAAGTGATTAAATTCAAATCGTAACGTAATTTAAATTGTCGATGTTTTGCTTTGTTTGGATATTTGCCCTGCGTGGCAACTCCTGTATTAATTGTAATTGCTAATTACTTTTGCACCGTTTTGCTAATAGCTGCCTGGCCCTTTGTCCACGGCACGATCGCAGATCGCCTGCCTATTCTTTCGTTTATATACTTCACATGTTTTAAATGCACAGACAAATCGGTCTGCCTGCCCAACATATTCTCGGTAGTTAAAAGCCGTAGACAAATCGGTCTGCCTGCCCAATATTGTAAACAATAACAAACATTAACTTTGTACATTAAGGCCTTGGTGCCATTAAAATAAATAAGTGCATATTTAGTTGGAAATTTGTGCGGGTTTATTTTACTTGGGCACTTTTCTGATTATAAAAGTGTATGTGTGTCTGTGGCGAATTTCACGAAATTAAGTCAATTTCGCACGATGAGCAGGGTTTTAATTTTTTCACTTGTCGGGGTCACTACTATGGCGATATATAACTTAGGTAATCAATACTGCTCGCTTTTCCACATCTAGCCACCTCTCCCTTTCCCCATCGAGGTTGTCAGGCTATAGTTGGCGCTTCAACGATATGAGGTTGCCGCAGTTTAATTTAAAAACTCCTGTTTCTTTTGCGACAGGCTATGTATAAATAATAGAAAAAATAATAATAATAATAAGATTTTTGTAACGCCTCCTGAATTTTAAATTAAATTTCATGAAAATCAGACGACTATATAATATGAACAATCGTCAAAAATATGGTAAATTAATAAAAAAAAAAAATCGTCATCGATTCGATGTTGTTCAGCCTTTACTGTAATTGATTAATTTTTATGAATTTAAGGCAGGTTCTCACCTTGTGGCAAAAAAAATTCTTTTTTTTTTTGCTTATCGTATAGATATATGTTCCGAAAATGTTCTCAAAAAATTTCAGATCCAAATTTGAAATATTACAAAAGTTACAGGCTCTTACATGGAGCACATGTCGAGCACCGGCCATTGGAAGCCAAAACTTTAAACGCGTTTATCTCGGAACCACGTTTGCGGACCTTACGGAAGTAATTGAAGGCGTTGGGGTTAACCAATCGTCATCAATTTTTTTTTTAAATGTTCCTAATTGTTTCCTTTAACTAATGAACTAGGATTATCCAAAAATATTGAAAACTGTTTAATTGAGAAAATAATTAGTGAGAAAAAAAAGGGCGAAAATCGAAATTTTTTTCAAAAGCTAATAACTTTTGCCATTTTCATTTTTTTCTGATCCTAGTTCATTTTATGCACAGTACAGTACACTTTAAGAATCTTTTCGGTTTTTGTGTTTTCGATTACCTGTTTTGGCTGAATCACTTCCGTAAGCGGGACACCTTTTTGCCGAAATGTTGAAACTGAGGAACGCCCCCTCCCACCCCTTTTTTGATTTTTCAATTTTGAAATTTTTTTCGCAAAATAAATATTTTTTTCAAATAAAGTTACAAATTTCAGATTTTTATCTTTAACCGTTTTCTCAAAAAAATTTTTTTTTTTTAAATGTCCATTTTTCGGCCCTACAAGGTGAGAGCCTGCCTTAAATTTACAGCCGCCATTACCACCATAATCATCAAACTGCTTTTTTTTCCGAGACGCTCCGTTAGCGGTCATTCCTTAAATATTTTTGCACAAAAAATACACGATTTTCTTCCAAAAGCATCAAAAAATGGATAAATTCAAAAATTGAAAAAACAAAATCGCGAAAACATTTATTTTTTACATTGAAACTCTTAACCCTTCCTTAAAAAATAAACAAATAATAAATACAAAACACCTTTTTTTTAAATTTTTTAAATAACAAAAAAAAAAAACAAGAACTTTTAAAGGACTTGACAATATTAATAAGGCAGTTTAAAAATGCTTTTCCTTTTTTTTAAAGGATACATATATAATGTCGTTACAGTATCGAATATGAAGATTTTCGTTTATCCTATTTTCATCTATCTCCGACATTGAAGTCATATTCTCAATACCAAATTTACGTTCGCTCAACATCATATCTAAAAATAAAGAAGCGTATATTATTTAATTATTTTGGTTAATTTACTAATAAAAATATATATTTAAAATCTTACATCCTATGTCCTACGTCCTATGGAAATGATCAAATAGTATTCATATTACAATATAAGCTAAAATAAAGCTTGTCATAAAAAAAGGCAGCGTTTAAGGGGTTATATACCTTTTTCTCCAGAGAAATACAGGGTTTTTATTTATTTTTTTTTTAGCATGTTACCATTGTTGTATTGAAATACAATACAAATTTTATCAACGTACATGTCCTTAAGTAAATTCGTATAAAATTTCGAGTGAAAAATGTTCATAATTTTGGAAGTTACAGTCCTTGCCGCAGAAGTCCTTTTTCAGTAGTGGCTCACGGTGAGCATGAAAACAAGGAAACGGCTCAACTTAAAAAAAAAAGAAAAAAAAACTACGTTAGTATATAGTGTTACCTTGTTCGTGAACGAAGGATTTTACGAAAAAAATTTTTTACAGTTACAGTGATTATTTAAAAAAAAAAAACCCATTTTTTCGAGGTCTAATAATTTAGTTTTTTGCCCCAAAAAAATAGAAAAAATTGTCGAAAATAAATTTCCTTCGTTCACGAACTAGCTATTGTATCTACAAACAATCCCCCAAAATCGATCGATGTAGTGGTTACCGAGTTATCGTGCTCACCGCAATGACCGTTTCTCAAAAATGCGATTCCGAGATAATCGCGTTTAAAGTTTTAGGTGGACATTAGGTAGTCATGTACACCGTGCGCTATGAACGGCTGTATCTTAGGTTCTAGTGCTCCGATCTCTAAAAAATTTTGCAGAAAAATTGTTGAAAGTATGTACATAAAAAAAAAAATGTTAAATTTTTTCGATATTTCGAGCCTGAAAAAGGTATATAACCCCTTAAGAGCGCAAGCTCTGTAACGAAGAGCTATAACACTGTGCGACAAAAAAATGTTTAAGTTGATTTTTTCTTATTTTTCTCTTCTACTAATCAAAATAAGAATACAAGTTTGTGGATTTGTTAATATCAATAGCCAATCAGCTTCTACGTACACTCAAATGTCACAAAAACGCGTGTTTTTGCATATTTCACAGCCTTATAATCACATATTGGGAAAATATTTTTTCACCGTTATAAGCGTTAATGCAAGTTCAATATCTATTAATTAAAATGTATTAAGCAAATATACCGTTAGGCTTTTATCACAATGCTTTAAAATTTTTTTCTCCCAGCTCTATACTCTGGGCGACTACGTATGGAACTTGTTACGCGAGGATACCTCTGAAAATGCCAAAAAAAAATCAGAAAAAAATTTCACTTTTAAAAAAAATAATAGTTTATTGGAAGTAAAAAAAAATAATATTTTGTGTTAAATATTTTCATAATAATAATTTCATAAAATTTATCATAAAAAAAGAAATCCTATCACTTAGAAGGTGGCATAAATATTTTTGTGCATAACTTATGCACCTTAACGGAAAACAATCAAAAAAGTAACTTAAACAAAGATTTTGTTAAGTTTTGTCGCACAGTGTAATGGGTAAGGCTCGGCAACATCAAGATGAACGTCGGCCCTGGTCAATCTGAAATAATGCTCATAACAACAATCTGCTTATAACAACAACGACAAGCACAATGATATCGTTTAAAAAAGGTGACCTCGACACTAAAGAAGACAACAAACACTACAACAACCACATTAACTGCAGTTTTTATTTCGTTAGCTCTTACTGGCATGCTAGGGGACTAGCCAACCCATAAATACAAAAATGTCAACGGATCATTAATTCAAACATGAATCGATCGATATGTGCAAATAAAAAAAAACTAGGCCAACAAGCCGCTACAAAAACAAATGCATCAAAAGTTAATAAGAAAGTTAAAGCCAAGCAATGCGCTGACATGAAATCGATTTTCTATTCTGAGTGACCCAAAAGAAGATAATAATACCGCTCAAACACCTTAGGACAAGCAACTAGACAACGACCAATTTTTATACGTCAGGCAAAGCCAAAGTTTACACACTCGCCCGCATATGTATCTCTGCGTACACCCCAAAAAAATTTCAAAATCTAACTTTAAACCCTAGCTGTTCGGCCATTTATGCATATAACTATTAAGCCCATTATTTTTTTAAACATAATTATAATTTATTGGTTCATTGACGTATTTTTTTTAATTATTCAACAGAGTCTTATATTTTATTTTTAATTTTAAACTTAATTCTACCAAAAAATGTACCCGCAAAAGTCTGCGTACACCTATTTTAAACATAAATAATATTATTTTTAGTAACTGGTAGGGTATCCCTTTCTCTGTAAAACTTCCGTGAGGCGTCTCGGCATGGAATCCACAAGTTTTTTGTCTCATCTGCAGTAGTTTTCTCCCACTCCTCCAGAATCACATCCTTGAGCATTTTTTTTTTTGATGCTATCGTGTGTCTCCGGATTTTCCTCTCAAGAAGATCCCACAAATGCTCAATTAGGTTTAGATCAGGACTCTGGGGAGGGGTTCGCAGCTGATTTTTGACATTATACAGCAGCCAAAGCTTGGTATTCTGTGCCGTGTGCTTCGGGTTTTTGTCTTGTTGAAACCTATATTCACTTTCGAGCCCTAATTTCTCAGCACTTTCTTTTAAATTGTTTTTTAATATTTCAATATAGATTTTCTGATCCATTATTGACTCGATAAATACCAATTTTCCAACGCCACTTGCTGCCATACACCCCCACACCATTATTCCGCTTCCTCCGTGCTTTACTGTGCCAACCAAATTTTCTTTATTAAAGGCTCCTCCGCTTTTCCTCCATACCAAAACCTTTCCCTTAATTCCAAATATGCAGAACTTGCTTTCGTCGGAAAAAATAACCTTATTCCAGAAGTCTTGGTTTTCGAAAATATAGTCATTAGCAAAGGTTAGGCGTTTTTGTCTATTGACTTCCGATATGTGAGGTTTTTTGCGGGCGACTCTGCTGTGGTACCCAGCCTTGTTTATGACCCGGCGTACAGTATCCTCGGAAACTTTTTTGGAAAAACTATCCTCGACCTGTAGCTTTGCCTGATGAGCTGTCGTCCTTTGGTTGAGCTGGATAGTTTTGACAATATTCCTCTGCTCGCGGATTGTAAGCAAAGGCGGACGCCCAGAACGAGCCTTTGGCAGGATACTTCCAGTCGAGTTGTAGTTATTTATCACTCTTTGGATGGATGAGTGGGTTCTACCAACTAAAGCACCAATTTCTCTATAAGATTTTCCATTCAAAAAACCTTTTAATAAAACCGCTCCTCAACAGAAATTTCCTTGCCTTTTTGTTCCATCTTGCAATATGCTCGTTATTGTAATGACAAAGTTTCATTTTAACTGAGTAATATCTATTTTTAGACATTCTAACGTAGATCGGCGACAACAAAATTAACGGTAATCGCACAATTCTGCATTACAGTTTTTGGTAGAGTTAAGTTTAAAAATAAAAATAAAATATAAGACTCTGTTGATTAAAAAAAAATACATCAATGAAGACAATAAATTATAATTATGTTTAAAAAAAAGAATGGGCTTAATATATGCATAAATGGCCGAACAGCTATGGTTTAAAGTTAGATTTTGAAATTTTTTTTGGGGTGTACGCAGAGATATGCGGGCGAGTGTATATCCTTGCAGTCATGAAATATGTCGATCAAAATGCATAAAGGCTAATCAACAACATCGAAGCTAAGACGATTGTTTATGGGGAAGACAACGAATATGCCACCCTTGTAAATAATAAACGCACGAGTAGGTTTAAATTATTTACGTATTTATTTGGAGCTGCAACTCCTCGTTTCATGTGTTTTTGAATATGTTATATAATGTGTACGAGATCTAAGGTAAGATAAGCCGAAAGCGCGGCTTCTTTATACCGTCGTTCTCACGAGTAGAGATAATATAGATCAGGGGTGCTCAACGCCTATACACTGAGTGCACTTTTGTTTTTGTAGATGCTCTGTGCTTATGGGTAGTGCGCGCATAAGCACCGTGCATATGGGCTTCGATTTGCATGCGAAACAAAAACAATTTTGCTTGTTTCTTCATTACATCTCTATCCGTCGTCATGCTTCGCTGAACGCAATGTATTTTGTTTTTGTTTTTTCCTCGAGCACATGCACTGAAACTTATTTTTCTGTCTGCGTTGGCTTTTGATTTATTTCGTGGTGGACCATCGTAAGTGTTATGTTAAATTTTTTGGCGGATCAAAATGAGTAATGAATTAGAGAGCAGTTTTTTTTAGCATAAACTTTAAATGCGAAGTACAATGCGTAATATGCTTTGTAGTTCTGGAGGTAAACACCAAATACAATCCTAATAATCTCAGTGCACAGCTGCGCCCCAACACAAACGCGCCGCTACATATGTACACGTTTTCTTGTGGGTGTGTTAGTAAACGCACTGCCATAAGACGAATTTGAGCACCCCTGATATAGATAAACAAAGAGAGGCTTGAAGAGCGGCTCCTAACTCCCTACACCTATGTGCACCAATTTAGGTGCTGGCGTTCTGCTCCGAACAACGACTTTTCTAATATTTTTCCATATTTTCGACTATTGTTCATATGACAGCTTTATGATATAGTTGTCCGAGTTATCCGATCAAATGAATTTTCTTAATTCAAGAGTCGTTAGAAAACTCTATATTCCAAAAACCATGATTGTCTGATGAAAAACATCAATGTTATAATATTATCTCGATTATTTCTATATAGATTTTTTTATCTTTCCTATTGCAGCTATATGATAACGTTGTCGGGTTTTAATGAAAATTTGTTTCTCGATAACTCTTGGTTATTAAAAAGCTCCATATTTCGAAATTCATGCTCATGGGGTAAAAAACAAGGACGACATAATTTTTTTTCCATTATTTATATAAGTTAACTAAGTTAACCGGACAATAAGTCCGCGACCATGCATCGGATTCTTTGCTGACCCAGCATTGGACTGTTTGCATCCGCACAGACGGCCAACTCAGCATATTTGCGTAGCCGCTGTGAGAAAACCTTTTGTTAGCTTTAAGTTTATATTCCTGTATTCAGTTATGATTTGATGAAGCGAGCGAGCGGTTCCTCCTCGCAATAAATATAAATAAAACTTAACTCAACTTTATTTCTCTGTGGCAGCTCCGCTCCACATAAAAATTATTAAATATCCAAATATATGGACATCTTA